CAATGCATGAACCTGAGGCCCCAACATTCTTAGTGGACAACTGCTGTGTTACAGCAAGTGGTCCGCCCCAGCCCCAAGGCGTAAATCACCAAATAAATGAGTAGCAGCCCAAAATTGGAGGGGAAACCTGTCAGAGGGCGTTGGATTTCAACAGACTTCAGGGGACTTCGGGTGCAGTGCATGAGCTCCACAGAACCTCCACTCCACGCCAAGCAGGAGATTCAACATTCCTACAGCTGTTCACTCCTTCAGACGCAGATTTTCAAGTTTTCAGACAAATGGCGGACCTGAAGTATTAGTTCCTTTGTAAAAAGCACGCGGCAAACAACAGGAGCGGTTATCACTATGCCCAGATCTAACACTAGCCCCTGTTGTCATCTGCAAAGTAAAAAATACTATTTTTACACTTGTAGGACAACTTTAGTAACATCTAATCTTTGAAAGAATACATATTTGTCTATGAAGAAGTTACCTCCTATCTGTAGTTTTAAAACACTGTTAAGACAGAAACAAAACAAACATTACAGTAAAAACAATTCTTAGATAAAAATAATGTTTGGACAGCAGCTCATGAGATATTCAAAGGACAATATCAACTTGCAAACTACATTTTCAGAAACCGCCTTTTGTAATGACGAAACACGTCAGATGACTAGAAGTGGATCAATTCAGCAAAACAAACCAACCCCCTCTCAGCTGCTGACTTTGCGCGTTTGGCAGCCTTCGTCCCGCTCCGGGATCAGTCTCTGCCCCGCAAAGGCCCTTGAGAAGATCAGCAAGGGAGCCCGAGAAAACCCTCACTTTTCGAAAAAAAGGGGGCGTTGAAGAAACAACTTCCCGAAAGCCTGGAAAGTGACAGATAATACCCCAGGTCAGCCTGCCTCCAAGCCCCCCACCGAGACCAGAGGCAGAATTTACACAGCCTTTCCAGGTGCTGCCGCCTGTATTGGACAGGTGTCATCTGAGAAGCAATCAAAGCCTGCAGTCCACCTGAATGGGGCAAAATTTGCTGGCTAAACATTATTGCCAGTGACTCTGTTTGAGATTTACTGCCAAGAGCTGTCTAAACTTTCTTTAAGAAAGCTCTTTTTCCGCAACCTTCTGTAGTGAGAGAGGACATACATCTACATATGTAGCTGCCATGCTTGTAACCTGTCTTGTCATGCCGTGAGATATAAAGAGTTGGGCAGGTTCAGGTACATGAGTCCCTTCATGCATCTAAGGGCATGCTCAAGTCTGAGCTTGCATATGCATTTTTCTGTCTTTATGGACCTGTCTGATTTGTGAGAATGGGACTGCACGATAAACCAAAGCATATTAAAATGGCAATAGGAACCTTTCAAAATTATTTCCTTTGCTAACTATGTTGCTGCTTTACTGCTGGGTCCAGTTTCAGACCAAGGTTTTTCATTTCTTCACTGGCCATATCAGGTCAGCACATTTTCTTTCTTGTAGTGATGCAGGTGTGCATCTCAGAGAGCAGGAGCCATGCATGAACCTGAGGCACCAACATTCTTAGTGGACAACTGCTGTCGTACAGCAAGTGGTCCGCCCCAGCCCCAAGGCGTAAATCACCAAATAAATGAGTAGCAGCCCAAAATTGGAGGGGAGGTGTCAGTGTGGAGCGGTGTGTGTCCGGGATGGAGGGGTCAGGGCAGACACCGGAGCAGTCGCCCCTCCAGACCACGTCGCTCGTCCGGGTGTAGGCGGGGACCCCCTCGCCACAGCCACAGGCGCACAGAAGAACAGGCTTTTGGGTTAAAAACGGGCTCTCCCAACATTGCCTTGAGTCGCCTTCCTCGAGGTGGCCCAGGGAGGTGGCACAGTGCGTGGCCGTCCTTAAAAGAAGGAAAAACATCGATGTGCCAAGCTTTAATGTTTCAACATTTGGCCCGGACTTTTGAACCAGCGTATATTCAACAACGAGACAGATGCTTTTTCCAAACTGCATGTAAAAGCATAAGTCATATTCTAAGTACCGACTGTGCTCATCAGCACAGTCCGAGATCAATAGTTTTGTGATTTTATTGATAGCATGTGTAGCATCCCTAAGGTAGGATCCAGACGGAATTTATTACGGCTTCTGAAAATGTCAAGTTACTTACAAGTGACATTCCTTTTAGGCCTAAGTGCACATCAGTAAAGACTCATATTCTTTTTATAGAAAATGTTTCACAAATCTCTTTAAATATATTTAAGTACTATAGGTTTGCATTTTAATAATACACTACTTTTGTGCTTTTAAACATCTCAGGTGCCGAACAAGAATTGTAAACTGTGAAGTAACTACTATGGGAAAGATTAAGTAAAGCATTGGAGGCGGATGATTTTGACAATAAAGAGGGTGTATGTGGTAAGTGTTTAATATTTATTGCATTTAACATTACAAAGTACTATTTATTGTTTTCAGATTTAATGTTAAAAGCAAAGCCTGCAGAGCAAGCGCTGCTGTGTTATATACTTACAGGTACACCTGTGACAAAGGCTTTCTGTAATCGTTGCTTGATGTGTATAACACCATTTTAGTAATGGCATGCCATTTTATTTAAAGTTCGTATGTCAGCTGTGCCTACCTTGCAAGTATTTTTCTGCAATTAAATGATTTTGCAAAGAATCTTGTGAATTTCAGCATTTAAATTGTGCTCCTGGAATACGTATCCTATTGTCTTTGAAATTATCTGAGTTTACATCTTTATCCATTATAAAAGCACACGGATTGAGGGAATATTCTGAATGAATGAAGAACAAACACAGTGCTGTTGAATAATCTTGTGGGGTAGATTAATCTATAGCCTCGATTTCTCTCAGGGTGAGTTGCTGTGGCAACCGCCCCAGCTCACTTTAAAATAATTTTGTAAAGCTCACTTCAAGTGCTTGCACCCAGCGTGGGCCAAGTTTAAAAGCAGCCAGACATGGGAAGAAGTGTTATACTGTGTTGCTCTTACAAGATAGGGAGGTGGTGGAAGAGAGGGAGGCGTGGAGTGGAGTGGGGTTGAGCGGAACTTTAAACAGAAAATAGAAACCAAGCCACCCCAGGGTTAAGACGCAAAGGAGGTGGATCATTTCATAGTAACCTTGCTGCTTTTCAGCTTGAACGCCATTGAACGATGTAAGCTGGCAGCCTCGTTTCTCCTAAGGGAAAGATACGTTCCGCATCCACAAAAGAACAAAAACGGACTTTGATAATCATCTTCACGGGGATGCTACCTTGAGATAATCACACTCGTAAGGGAAAGATGGACACACACTTCACTCTTTGATAAAACTTTGGAGATCTGATTCTATAAGTACTACGCTTTGACTGATGTCTCATTGTTTAGAGCAGCGCTTGCCTCAGGTGGTGGATTAAGAAAAAAATAATTTTGTCAGCAGACCTACGCGTGACCTGTGACCAGCAAAAAAGGGTCGGTTTGAGTCTTGTGCCAGAAACTCGAAAAGGGTCCATTTGTGGAGCATCAGTACAAGTAGAGACACCAGAACAAAGGTTTTTCACTGTTTGAAATTATTCCAGATTTTAAAATTAAATGCAGCAAAAGAAAGAGAAAAAAAAAATCCGAAACGCTTCAACAGATACTGCATAAATTCATGCCTTATCTAACCCCGAGACGAGTGAGAAAGCCTGATCCCTCCCCTTGTATCTGTTTGTCCATCCAGCATCTGAACTCCCTTTTGAAAATTAAGGTGTCCTTTGTACGGATTTGATGAATTGTACTGAGGACAAAAACTTGGCACTGCCTTAAGGTACTCCGGTATGTGAAGGTCACAACTATTTAAAGATGAGGCCACAAGTGCCCGAGGAGAGGTGCAGGGGATGTGCTAATCTGCTGTATAGTTTTATTTTCTGAAATAGTTGCCTACTCTGACAATTGCTTTCGAGACGTGACGCTGCTCGCGTTCTGTCTCGCCAGCCGAAGGGCTGTGTTACCAGCTAGCCAGAAACCTGAAAACTTACATATCCTGCACAAAATAAAGCAGACGACAGTTCGTTTTCAATTAGAGCACAGAAGTGTGAAGTCTTGACACAGCTTTCTATTTTTTCCACTAAGAAAATGCGAGTATTACTGGATAGTCGGGTGCCGTGCTGGGAGACCGTAATTGCCTGCAGAAGAGGCGTAGCGAGGCTACAACGCGCGTAGCTGTCCCGTACTCCTTTCCCACCGCGGAACCTGAGGCTGAGGCAGTATTTCTCCCCCGACGCTACGCGGGCTCCGCCGCTGACACTGCCGAGCATATGTTCCTCCCGGCACCGCACACGACGTGCCTGGCTCGTGTCTGGCTGCCTGGTGGCTCCCGGCGCTTCGGCATTGCTGTCATTCTCGTTTTTCTGGGCGCATTCGTAGCTGGCTGTTGAGGGTTGTCCGCTCCGTGCCTAAATCTCACCCAGACAGGGGAGGAGGTGGTGAGACCCGAAGCCACTACAGGGTGTTCTCCAGGGACCGGCCCGGAGAGCAGTTGCAGGGCGCTTGTTTCAGCTGCCTTAGCTGCATTTTTCTCTGACGGGGCTTCGTGCATCCACGTCCTAAGTACACTCGAACTGGAAAGGCATTTTTTCACTGCCGAATACGGAACTTGGGAAGTAGGTCAGTGGCCCAATGAGATGTTTACAGGGGAAAAGACTGAGGGACCTAGGGCTCGTATTAAAACAAACCAAATACCTATTTATCACTGCCGGTCGAATTCAGCCGTTTGGCTTTATCACGCGTGCTGCTCCCGTTCCCAGTGCCTTAACCCACCACAAAAAAAACGGTCTGTGCCTTTACAAACTCCCCCGCTGCCCTCGAAGGGTGGTAAAAGTTGGCTGCCTATCCACGCAGAAATTAAGGCGAGCATCTGCAAAGTCCAGTTCTACTCACGAATTACCGCCGGTGCTTAATTTGGACACAAGCTGCCATACAGCACGGTCCTTTCAGGCCGGTTTGAACAGCTAATGAACCTATTAAAAATATATATATATATAAAAATTAAGGTTTAAAGAAAAAAAGCCCTGTCTTTTAACACGGCGTGCGGGTGATGCTGCCTTCCTGCAGGTAAAGGGACAAGGGACCCCGACGGGGAGCGGTGCGGGGTTTTCTCCGGATTCCTCCCTGGGGAAGCTGCCCTGCGCTGCTCCCCCTGGCATGGCTCCCGCACCGAGCCCCAGGGGGGGAGGCACCGGCGGGGGGGGAGTGCGGGACGCTGGGCCACTCGGCCCCGGGGATGGAGCCCGGCGGGGTGGAAGGGGGCCGGGGATGCG